ACCCTAACCCTAACCCTAACCCTAACCCTAACCCTAACCCTAACCCTAACCCTAACCCTAACCCTAACCCTAACCCTAACCCTAACCCTAACCCACTCTAACAGACTAATGATCTAAAATCTAATTTCCATCTTTCGGTTTTCTAAGTCCGGTTCAATTTTGGGTTCGATTTTGCTGCCAAATTTCGACTCGAATTTTTGACTGTTGCGCACCGCCGTCGCACTACGCTCGGTTGCTTTCGAAGTTGCTTTCCGCAAGCAGTTGTGCGGATCATGGCTCACTTTTGCGTCGTTGCCGTTGTTGCTTCCAGCGCTTGGCGCCTAGCGTCCTGTCTCGTCCTGTCGCCATTCGGACGGCAATGGCACCGAGCTCTTCCTCGTCGCAAAGATCCCCTTGGCGGCGAGCTGTCTTCCTGTGAGTCTTGCCCGGGGCTCGTGCTTCGGCCGGCGTCTGCCTCTGTGCGCGCCGCTTCGCTCGGGCGCGGGGTTGGGCGGCCCGGTGACGGCACCTCTGGCGTAGCGATGGTTGCCTGAACTCGGTAGTGGGCGTCCTGATTGTACTCTGCGCTTAGATTGCAGGTCGCCTCCGGGGTATGGCTCTGTGGGACCTCGGCTTGCCAGCATGTTGGGCAACAGCCATTCGAGACTCCATGGAGACTCCCTTCTGGGCATGCGTCCCGCCGTAATCGAGCATTCGCCATTTGCCGTACCTAGGAGGCAATGCCGCCGTGTACTGAAGCTGCACAGGCGTCGTCACCGAGGCACTCACGTAGGGTTGATCTGACCCGAGAGCCACTGCCAACTCTTTGCCCGGCACTACAATCGCTTCCAGCGGTCCCTCGTAGCGCGCCCTGATCCGGATGCCTTCACTGTTGTTATTGGTTCTTAGAGCCGTCCTTGCCGGGACTACTTGTCCTTGTTATCCGGCCCAGCCGAGCAACGGGTGGGTGGCTGTCAATACTGGTGCTCAAGGCCGCAATTGGATGGCGCTCACCGTGGGTACGCTCGTTCGGGATGCAACTCGGGCCACCAAGCGGTTCCACGATCAGACGGCATGGGCTCGCTCGATAAAGTCGTTCTCGATTCTTCCTTCATCACGACATCTCCCGGCTTTTCCCGCATCCATCGCGGCAGGCTTGATTCTGGAGCCCCAGAGGGCTCAAAACGTACTGTCGTCGCGCCGCTCTCGTCGTCCTCGGTATCGGACTCCTGCGTTTCCTCGGGCTCTTGTTCACTTGCCATAATGTCGGTGATCATCAAATTCTTGCCGGTTCGGGTCTTGATGGTGTTGAAGTGTCTGCGGATTGTGGACACCATGCACCGGTTGGACCGGTGGAGGATCAGGATGAACCCCGCCTCCGTCTGTCTCACGGCTACCTTGCTGAAGTATACTCCTCCCACCCTCCGCCCCCTTTCACTCGCTATCCGCGTTGTCCGATCAATAGCCCAGCGACGAAAGCGCTGCCTGGCGCTGCTTGCTGGTGCACCAGATCCCTGGTTCAGAACCAGCGACTCTCGGTGCTTGACAGCCAAAAAAAGCGTTGTCGGGATTTGCTTGGCAAGCCGGGCACCATGGTGGGACATTGGCAACATCCCATGTGCGCGGGGAGGAACGATTCATTCTTGTGCCATAGTCAGAGGATGGCGTTGGCGTGGCTTGTGTTGTTGTCTCAGCTGGCAATCGACGGGACCGCGCTGGCACTTGCGAGCAATGAGCCGTTGCCCACAACGCCTGGCGACGTCGGCACTCGACGTGTTGTGAAGGCAGAGCCCGGCCCGGCCAGACCACGATCGTGTCGCCAGGAACACGAGACAGAGGCTGCACCCCGGTGCTGAGGTCGCCGTACGGCTGGACGGCAAGTTGGCCCGAATCCAAGCTTGAGCCTTCAACGTGTGGCGTCGAACGCGGTGATGGATGGAAACCCACAGGCATAGCTTTGTCGCGCTGCAAGACAGCGGCGTTCCCATCCGAGTTGCCGTGTACCGGCAACTGTGCGACATGTGGCGGTCGGCTCTACCCGCAACTCGGGCTGAACCGCTCTTCCTGCAGGGCAGCTGACGCTCGGGCCGCACCGACATGCCACGCATCGCAACGCACCGCTGCGCATGGCCTGCCGCGGCCTGACCAATGCGATCAAAACGGTCGATTGAGAGACGAGCAACCCACACACAAGGGACGGCACAGAGCTAGCAAGCTTGGACATGACAGAAGGTATGAACAAGTGATTCGAAAGAATATCTACATGAAGAAACGTGGCAACGGTTGCAGTGACTGATCGTGTCGAAGCGAGCCGGGCAGACTCGTCGACAGACCAGCCAGGGCGCTGGAGAGATGGCCACTGAAGGTACACACGAAAGGTGGGGAAAAGGGTGCGACGATCTCTACAGCGCACCAAGGATGGCGCCCAGCGGAGATCGGCGCACGGTGGAGCGACGAAGCAGACAGACAATTTGTTGGGAACGAAAAAAGGGGTATAGAGGAGCCGAGGACGACGCTAGTGGCGACGATGAAGTGGCCCAGCCTCGTCGTTGAGACGGGCGGGAGCCGATCGCCAAGCGCCGGCCTAGCCCAGATGCAGGACGGGCCCAATGCGAGCAGACCGAAGAGAAACCATTGCTGGGACCAAAGTGATTTTGGGGGCGCATCGACCGTGATGCGCGGGGGAGTCTGCTTGACTGTGATGGACGGGACCGTACTACTTGCGAGATGGGGAAACTGTTGCGTGCATGGTATCTTGATGCTGAAATTGATGCGGGTGTGCTTGATCGTGACTCTCTAAGTGATGCAAGTGTGGATGCGTATTATCGAAACCGGAGGAGAACCACTCTGAAGAGTCGTGGTCAATACTGTGTTGACGACCAAGCTGAAAAAATCCGAGCCGCACGACCCGACGGTACGGTCGAGGCTTTGGCTCGAAGTGACCATGCAGATGCGAGGTAAAGGAGAAAGAGAACTCCCTCGGGCGATTGGACCACCTGCGAGGGAGCGCTCTTCGGCGAAGAAGAGAAAAGAGTCGAGCCGAGAGAAAATTGTCCGCTATGCTTTTTGGATGGTGTTCGTGCGTTCGTAAAGGGGCCAGAGAGGGAAACGGAGAGAGAAAAGTGGGGACGCGGAGAGTGGCGCAGTGAAAGGATCGAGGCTGTGTATGCTGGTTCTCATCACCGCGAGTCACTCCGACCGTTTACCACCAGGACGAGTTGCCGCCGTAGCTGCCGCCGGTGGAAGCAGGGGGAGGGCCGCCGTAGCCGCCAGCGCCACCAAAGCCACCAGCACCGCCGTAGCCGCCGCCCATGCCGCCGCCAAAGCCGCCACCGAAGCCACGGCTGCCGCCAGCGGGACCGTTCATGGTGCGGGCATCGCGGCTGCCGAAGGACGAGGCACCGCCACGGCCACGGCCGCGGCCGCGTCCGCCGCGTCCGCCGCCGCCGGCACCGAACATGCTCTCGCGGGCCACAGCCTCGAGCCACTGAGGAACCTCCTGGTTGGCCTCCTTGAGCAGCTCGATGAGGTCACGGACGATGTTCTTGTTGCCGCGGTTGAAGAAGGCGGTGGCGTGACCGACATTACCGGCACGACCGGTACGGCCGATGCGGTGGACGTAGTCGTCGACGTCCGAGGGAAGGTCGTAGTTGACGACGTGGGTGACGTTGGGGATATCGAGACCACGGGCGGCGACGGCGGTGGCGACCATGATGGGCGTCTTGCCCGAACGGAAGAGCTCGAGAGCACGCTCACGCTCGCGCTGGGTGCGGTCGCCGTGGATGGAGGTGGCGGCGATGTTGGAGCGGAGGAGGAAGTCGCTGAGCATGTCGGCCATGCGCTTGGTCTCGACAAAGATGAGGGTGAGACCGCCGGAGGGCATGGAGGCAAGCACGTCGAGGAGCACGGAGCGCTTGTCGTCGTCCTCGACGTACTCGATCTTCTGGGTGATGTTCTCGGAGGTCGAACCGACACGGCCGACCGAGAGGAAGACGTACTCCTTGAGGAAGTCCTTGGCGAGGAGCTGGATGTCGCGCGGGAAGGTGGCGGAGAACATGAGCGTCTGACGGTCCATGACGCCGGGCATGTCCTCGCCCTCGACGATGCGTCGGATCTGGGGCTCGAAACCCATGTCGAGCATGCGATCGGCCTCGTCGAGCACGAGGAAGCGGACGTTGCTGAGGCTGATGCGGCCACGCTCCATCAGGTCGACGAGACGACCGGGGGTGGCCGAGAGGAGGTCGCAGCCGCGCTCGATCTCGCGAAGCTGGGAGCCAATGTCGGCACCGCCGTAGACGACGGCGGGCTTGACCCAGGATCGGTAGGTGAACTTGCGAGCCTCGTCGTGGATCTGCGAGACGAGCTCACGAGTGGGGGCGAGGATGAGCGTGCTGGGGTAGGCCTTCCTGCGGCCAAAGCCACCGTGCTGCATCTCGGCAGGCGGGGGAGGCGGGCCGTGGGTGAAGAGGGCCGAGAGGATGGGGAAGAGGAAACCACCCGTCTTACCGGAACCGGTCTGGGCACAGCCCATCAGGTCACGGCCAAGCTCGACGATGGGGATCGAGTACTTCTGAACGGGGGTGGGGTTGGTGTAGCGCGCAAGCTTGATGTTCTCGAGGAGGTGGGCGTCGATGGGCGGCGAGGTGAAGGTGGTGACGGGCTCGGGGACGTCGCGTCCGCTTGCCTCGACGGGGATGTCGCCGTACTTGTCAAAGTTGATACCCATGCTCTGGTGGAGACCGTCGCCCTCCTCACCGAAGAGCTGCTTCTGCAGACGCGGGTTGGGAGCGCCGGGGACGTGCTGGCCGTCCTTCCACTGACCAAAGCCGTCGTTGCGGGCACCACCGCCGTAGCCGCCACCACGCGCAGCACCGCCGCCGTAGCCACCGGACGAAGGCGTGTCCCAGCCACCGGCACCGCCACGAGGAGCGCCGCGGTTGAAGCTGCTGAATGCGGCGGGCGCGGGGGGAGCACCTGCGCCGTTGCCGTTGCCGTTGGAGTTGAAGGCGGCAGGAGCACGCGGACTGAAGGATGCTGCCGACGAGTTGAGCGAAGCGTTGTTCTGCTGGCCACGGAGGTGCGGGGGGACGTACGCCTTGCGGGGAGCACCGCCAGCGGCACCGTTCTGAACCGACATGTTGGCGAACC